AGAATAATGAACATTGTTTAAATGACATTAAACGTTATTTAACAATGCATGAATAACAAAAAGTTTTTTTTAACCAAGAAACCAATTCTAGAAATATTTTTTTATAATACTAATTTAGTAGCATGATAACACTGGATAATAAAAAAAGTATAAAAATTTAAAACAATTTGATTTCTTGCCCAAAAACGCTTATTAGCCTTTAGTTATAACATGAGCTCTAGATTTCTGAATGTTTTCTTAACTACAAGATATTATTCTTTATTTTCAACGTAAGTATTATAAGTACTTCAATCAAGAGAACTTTAGTGGGATAATTTGCAAATTGCCAGAACTTTAAAATAAGCTCTTTATTATTATCCATAATGTTACGTTTTCATTATTCTTTGAAGTCACATTCCAAAAAAATTGTAAGAAAAACTAAAAAATACCAATATTATGATGCCTGATCAATTTGATCATACGTTTGAAAAAGTCCTAAATAGCTTAATAGTTAAAAAACTAAACTAAAACCTACTCTGTTCAGCTCAAATAAGTTAAACTGTAGTTTACACATACCCTATAAGATTGATAAAATTAATTCTTCATCCAGTGATACAAAAAAGTAGTTTCTACTGTAGGAGTTTCGTTAAGTGTAGATTTATTGTGCTACGTTACAATCCGTATGATAATAAACTGTTGTCACACAGCTTGATTACGATATTATACAATATTTTCAGATTTTATGAAATTCTTACAATGTTAGCCCGCTAAAATCTTATTCTATAAATAAAAATTTCAGCATAGTAAATTAACATAAGTAGGGCTAACAGTATCAACTACAAGTATTTCTATTAAAAGAGGCTTGAGCAGGAGAAGTTAAGAGGTCATACGTAGATTAATTCATGCATCAGAACCCGCTAATTCCAGCGGTGTTTTTATTTACCCCTCAAACCATTGAAAACTTCGAGAAATTTGCTCTCAAAGTAATCACATTGTACACAACCTCTTATGGAACAAGTCGTAGTTTTCTAACCCTAATCGAAGAGTTACATATCAGGACAATAACTGTTTTATAGAAAAAATTTTTTGATTTTAGATAAACCTCGATATAGGTAATATAGAATATCGATAACCCTAGAAAAATCTGAGATATTCCGTAAAGTATTGATCAAGTCTTTGTATTAGCATGCAGTTATGCATATACATGAGTGTGCTCCCACATTATACTTACATCAGTGGTACCAACTGACCCAATTATTTTCGGGTTTATACCAGTGCTTACTGGAGCACTCTCAATTTTACATTCAGTGCATAGTAGCATTTTTATGTTAATATTAAGTATTTCCAAACATTCCAATAAAAATACTTACAACTGCTGGTGAAGGAACATGAATACTTGCAACTGAATGAGGTCTTACGTAATTAGCTAAGTGACAGAGAACCACACCATCCGCTAATGCTGGAGCTAGCTCATTAGGAAGGGTCATTTTCAGTCTTGTTTCTATGTGCTGTTGAAAAAAAAATGCACTAGTAAGTTAAATTTACTGAATACGTCAAAAAATTTTATTATGCTATTCATATTTCCTACGCGTCGCAATTGCTGTATTAAATCTGCTTCTTCTTTGGCACGCTCATACTCTCGTCTCATAGTGAACGAATAGTTTTCTGATGAGTTAACATTCCAAGTGATATTTTGAGGTGAACGAGGACGACACATTTGATTCGAATCTGCATTACCTAAAACAAATTAATCATTAAAATTGTATAAAAACGCCAACATTAAAATGTGTTGGATGATTACAAACTAAGTGTTCTTTTATAATTACTTTATACGTTTAAAAAACTGTGCCCTTACATTTAAGGTACTACTGAAGTAACAGTCAACAGAGTAAGAAGTTAAGTTATAATATTTTTGCAGATTTTTTGTTATACCTAGGATATTACTTTATAACCTGTTTCCTAAATATGTTAAATTTTTTTGTTACCACCAAAATTTTAAATGATGGTTAGAGGTCGTAGACTTTTAAATAGACAAATAAATTTAATTTTTGTTTGTGAGAAACCAAACGTGAGCCTAACGGTCTCACTTACCCTTACTTACAGTATGATTTCTTTTAAAATTTGTTGACTCAGTATTATAATGTCGAGTTTCGTTGAGTTATATAATAATAAAAGTGTATCAAACGATATATTTATATCTAACATACTAGTTCAGGGGTGATACGATTCCAATTTTCACAGTATGGAACAGACACCCATATATATATATGTGTGTGTGTGCGTGCGTAAGCGCGTGCGCATGTGAGTGTGTGTATCACTCAATACGCTTCAGTTCCACTCAAAAACAAATGTTAGATTATAAGAACTGGGGAAGAGATGAGGCAAATAACTAATACCTGTTACCCGAGAGAATGAGTAAATCTATGGATACGAGATGTATACATACTAAGACGTATTTATAGGTATATTTTTATTCTAATAGAGTGGACTAACTAGGCCAAAATTTTTACCTCATGAAGTCCCATAACTAAGACTTTCATAATTAGCAAAAATAATGTGACTATTAATGAAATTACAAATTATTATCAGCTTTCTACAAATGAGAATATTAAAAACAAAATAAATTCGAACTAGCTTCGTAAGTAAAGATATATTTTTATTGCATAGTCAAAAAAAAAAAAGTTTCTATAACATCTTGAAAGGAAGTTATTTTTATCAATTAGTATAGTAGAAGAGGATCTATTTTTGTAATGTGATGTTGATTGTAAAGGTTTTTTTTTCAACTGTATTGTTTTACTTATTTCAAAATATTCATTAATTTTATGCTAATGTATAATAAACTAATAATAAAATATAAAGTTGCTATGTCGTAAATCTTAATGTTTGCATGTAAAAAAGTTAGCTTATTTTATTAAATGGAATTTTTTTAAATATTAAAAAAATTTTTTGAAATATTTTTCATTCAAGTGCTAGAAGTTGGCAAATTCCACTGACCGG